TGCAGTTGCAGAGCAGTCCCTAGAAATAACACTCCAAAACGTTTTAATCTCAACTGTTACCTTAATATAATTAATGCTGAGTCCTGCAAACAACTGTCTCCATCCTTGGTTGCGAACTATCATCGTAAGACCTTCTATTGAGTTCCTAAATCTGACATCACCGTTAAGTGAAGATGGCATATCTCCAACCTGCACATAGCAAATAATTAAATACGTTACAATAATGCCGAAGAAGAAATCCCTTGTTGGGAATTACAACTAATAGCTAGTTTTTTTCCTTTTTGAGAATATAGCATTATAATTGTAGGGGTGGGGATTCAAGACCTATATAAGAGGTTACTAACATCTTGACCGTTGAATTGTATTCAGGTTGACAAAATCAGAAATGTTTAGAATTATATTTTAAAGTGTCTAATCATGCTCTACTCTCACTGTTATATATGTTTGTCAGACTAATTTTGCCCCTACTGTTCATCTCTTCCTAGATCTAGGGATGCAAGTTGAAACCTCAGAAATAGCTGGTCAGTTCAATTTTCTAAAGTATAAAACCGGGATAGATCATATCAATTCGATTAGGATGGTTATGCCAGAACTCAAAAGATTGGATTGTTTCGGTTCGGTTTTCAATAGATTCAGTTTCAACCTTAGACAGGAGATTAGGAGTTTAAGACCCTAACAAAGATGTTTGAAAATGATCAAGAAAAATACCTGCATTTGTCTTCTAACAACATCCAATGGATACGTGACCGTCTGCCCCAATAATCCAGCCAGAGCTCCACAAGAAAGCCGCATCACAATGGATCTCTGATGCTCCTCAGGAACATGACTTTTAAGTTCTTCATAAATGTAAAACTTCAAACCAGCGTAAGGAAGGATTCCAGTCAGAGTTGGACCTGTTGAAACATTAAATCTTTTTTAATCATTCTGCCGATATAGAAATAGACGAGTTAACTTAATTTTGGATACATCTTAGAGAGCAACACAATCAATGAGGTCAGAGAAAACTAATATAGTAATATAGTATCATTCCAAGATATACCAAAAAGGATGATAAAAAGAGAATGCAATTGATACACACCTACACCACGATATAGTGCACGTACTCCGCCTTCTCTATAAACACGCATAAGCACATCCTTAATGCCACTGTACGCAGGTTGAGTATGATAGTTTCTCAAGCCATGGCTCTTCACTGTTCTCGTGTCAGTAGTCTATACAGACAGGAAACAAACAATCAGATGGGTAAAAGAGATCAAAAAACAACAGTTCAACTTCAGGGGGATTAGAACAGAATGAAATGGATGAACAACAAATTGTTGCTAACTTGAATATGTTAAAGGTGAAAATGATACAAAACCAACTCCAAATAGAAGAATATCAGTCTGTAAGATGATCATAAATCTAAAAACATACCTTGTACTTATGTATATAGATGACTATGATTATAATTGAGAACACAGAAGGCCAAAAGAATCACATTTTCTAAACAAATGGAAGTAGAGAATAATATATACCTGATAAGCCAGTTTTGTTCGTGCCAGGTCTAAAGGATATGTGCATAAAACAGCTGTTCCCCCAGCTACCGAACCAGCTAAAAGATCAATATGAGGCCCAGTTCCTAAGCCTGGATAGTTATTCAAGATCCAACACCGATATTGCTCATATGTCATGAAATGTAGGGCTGCATAAGGAATAATCCGAACAACACTAGCTCCATTTCCCCTAAACCATGAGAGAGTAGAGAACTTATTTTCAAAGGACAGAAGTTCAGACAAAGAAAAGGAGAAACTTTACTAAATTCTTAACTTACTTATAGAATCCACGCACACCTTCATTGTTCAGCACCCTCTTCATAGACTGAAGGACTCCAAGAGAATGGAATCCTTCGGTTCTAGTCTGTCAATGTTCACAACACAGAGAGTTCAGAATAGATGTTCAGTGGATAATAGAACAATAATATTCGCATCAATGTCGTAGTTATCTTTAACCATTAGACTAACATATTTCCATCCTAGGTCAAAATTATGCTTATTAGTGAAGAGCAGCCAATACCTATTGATAAAGCATCATAGTCAGCTCACCTGCTCCTAGTTTCCTGAATTAGTAAGCTTATTTACTTATAAAACGTAATTGTCCTTCCTTGGACCAAGAAATTCTATACTACCCCAAGGAGTGCCTCGTGGTTAAGTCTCAGTATATTTAGAGGTACCATCCAAGTCCTAGGTTTAAGTGCTTGGTTGAAAACTTAACAACTTAAAACAGGATAGGCAAAGCCCTACAAGTATTAGAGGGGGTGAACAGGATACCAAGACTAATACTAATGACACTTAATCCTAGGTCTCGAAGGGTTTCATGCATACAGATAAAAAATTTGACAACAGTACAGTTAAACAAGACAATTTCTAAAGAAACTATCTAGGAAATCACCTGCAAAAGTATTTTAATCCGCTCCAAGGGTGCAACAGTAGTCTTAGCAAAGGCACCAGCAGCACCACCAGCAATCAGCTCTTTGACGTAAATAGGTAGACTGTCAATATAGGACACTTCTCTTTTTGCAGACGAACCATCAACAAACCCCGCAACATTTGTGGACAAGGTAGACCCTTGAGATGAATTCATCTTGGATAACTTAGAAACCTTAAAACTGCTAGAACAAAACACAACTTAAAAGCGATCGACACCCCAAATTGATAATTATCCGCTCTGCAGCTTGAAGAATTCTTTATCCCATCTATCTCTCTGAACACAGTGTGAGAAGGCCTTTCTCTCAACAGATAGACAAGGCGGCCTGAGAATACCCAGAAAGGATTCGGGCAAATTCACAAGCCGATCTTCTTCTTGATTGACGACAAGATACATCCACAGTACAATGAAGCTGAGCCTGCAGACCAAATATATCCCAAACCCCTTCAATTATAACAATGCCCCCATCAATCTACCAAAGAGATACCGATCCCCCATCAGAATTCAATCACCATAATCGTAAAGAATTACTCAGAACACAAGAAACCCAATACAAATCCCACCGAAAACAAGAATCCCTTTTCAGAATTTCAATGAACAGAAAACCCCCAGTCCCCAAAGTCGCTGAAATTATTAAATAGTACCAAATCGAAACTTGAAAAACACCGAAACCCCAAGAAACATCCCCATAAAAGCCCCCGAAAGGAGAGAATCCAGAAAGGGAAAACAAACAACAAGAAGTTGAAAGAGAGAAAGAAAAGAACGTACTCGTGATTTGACTGATTGGTGACAGAGCGGAGAAGGGGCAGTAAATTCCAAAGTTTGTTAAGGGAAGCTCAGTGTAGAACCGCAGGGAAAGCAAAATCTTTCCTCGCGGCGGGTCCGCCGGATCCCCGTCTACTCCGTCGCCTCTCTGGATCTCTCTCTGAGCCTCTGAGGATTGATGTTTCGTTTGATTTTCTGAGGCGCTTCCGATGGAGATTTTAAAATATGGGTTTTATCTTAGAACCGTGATGAGTTGGGAAATCGAGTACAATCAGACTTTCGGTGGGCCCACCAGTTGTGCTCGTCCACGTGGCGCATATCTCCACCATTGACCGAATCAGACGGAGCTGATTATGGTTTTTTTTCCTTTTTTAATTTAATAAATTATGGTTGTGTGTTGTTGTGGCCGGTTTTATATTAATTTACTGGATATTATATTATTAATCCCTTTTCGAAATATTTTATCCCAAAAAAAAAATCTCCTTTTCGAAATATGAAGGATTCTTGGTCATCCTTTTTTCTTAGAATAATTTGAAATTTGATGTAATTTTGAGAAGGAAAAGTAAATTTCAAAGAGATTCTTTGACAGAGTTTTGGTTGTTTTTATTATACTCTATCCCCATAAATAGCAATTTTTTGAATTTGCTTACAAAAAATAAATTTTTAAAAATTCATTAATTTATTTTATGAGGTTCAGGATTAACCAAGAAAATTCCATAGTCTTCGTACAAACGTTCGTCATTCTTATCTCAAGAATTAAATTCATAGAAATTTAATTGAGAATTTATTAATAGTTACATAAATCTGCTTAATTTAATTTATTTTTTTAGTCGGGGTTCAAATCTTCATCCTATATTTGGCGTACTCAAAGATTACATAAATTTATATTTTTAAAATCATATCTTTCAAACCAAAAAAAAAAATCTTTTTGTTTATGAATTTAATTTCTGAAAATCAACTTTAAATAATAAATAAAGGTTATTATACTTAAATTGATCCTTCCTCACCAAGTAAATTTCTAAAATCCTCTCTCTCGCTCTCTCTCTCTCTCTCGGTTCTCACGTGAAGGTGAAGATAAACCTAAACTTTTTCCTATCAATTTTAACTAACTTGTTTATAACATCTTTTTGGTAAATTATGAAATAATAATTTTAGATCAACAAAATAATTTACGTGACCCCCAAAAAAAAAAAGTCTTCAACTTGGGTACATTTTATTAATATTTAATATAATGTCTTTCCTTTAAAATTAAAATAATATAATATAATGTCTTCGTTATTTTTTATTTTTTAAGTTTTGTTGGTGGATGACAATTAAGGGCACCAAACATTTCTGTTAGTAAATTGGAAGGACACTTTGACAAATTAAATTTCAAGTTCTTTAAAAAAATAATAATAATAACCTTTCATATGTACAATTATACCTACCAACACAAATTTATATGAAACATCTCTGCTTTAGCACTTAGTATTACAATCCCCGAACAAGCACCAGTTTGAGTGGATAGCAAATTGCTTTGTTACCTATTCCATCAGGAATTGCAGATTTTTTAGTACATCATATTCATACATTTACGAGGTATTGATACTTCTGAAGGGTGTTCTATTTTCTCGTAGATTGCATTTCGTTTCCCTTGTGATGAACTCGAAGAGGGGTACATATCAAGTATCTGCTTGGGATCATGTCTTCTATTTTAGATGTATAATTCAACCTCTCACCCCATTTGTTGTATTAAAAAAATATGTATATTTAATATACAATCGCACACGATAACAAAAAATTAAGTAACACATCGACGAAATTCTTTTTTTCCCATTTTAAAATGGCTTTAGCCACATTTTCAACGCTAATTTATACCATATAGAAGTATAGATTAAAAACAAAAAAAAAAAAGTATAGAACTAAAAAAGAAGAATAAGGAAAAAAAAAAAAAAGAGATTGAAAGGCTTAAAAAAGAGAACTGAAAAAAAAAGGAGAAAAAAGAGAAGACTTCCTCTACGCAGAAGAACAAATTTATGAGACAATTTGGGATATCTATTTTGGTTCTGGGTTGGGCAGAGTTTCAGGATCAATGGCGGAACCTTGCCTAGAAATGGTAATCGACATTGAACTTTGAGCTCGCGGATGATAAGCTGAAATTTTCTTCCCTTTTTCTTCGTAAATGACACCATCTTCTTCATCTGGAACTTTGCATTTTTCCCCCAAAATTATTGTCTTCGTCCAAATCGAATCCTCCCCTTTGATCCTCTCTTTCCGCCGCTGCCGCCCTTCGTCCAGATGGTTCCTCACCACCGATAAACTTCTCGGAACTTTGATGCTCATGCTTCTCATGTTGCTGATTTTTCTCTCCGACGCCGATTTCGCGATCTGGCTCGGCGGGCTCGAATTCGCCGCCGTTTGCATCTTCGGCGGCAGGGGAAGATCTTTGTTCAGCTGTTCGTTTTGGTCGCCGTCGTTTTCGCCGTCCGCCGTTGGGTCTGTCAAGGGGGAACCGTTCTCGTCTGCTTTGTTTTCGCCGGCGGCCGGAGATGTGGATTGGTCGTCCGACCCCGATCTTCTCCTGGACCGGACGCCGCAGAGTGTGGTGATCATGGCGATGGCCGCCGCCATTCCGGCAGCCAGAAGGGAGAAGGAAATCGCCGGATGAATTAACGGGTTCTCATCCGTCGGAAAACTTCTCACCATGACTGAAACATCAAAAAACCAGAGGGAAGAGAAACCCACCAGAAAAAGCTCTGTTTTTTCTCATCTGTTCATCGGAAATCCTCTGTTTTCGAGTGCTCTGTTTTTCTTGTCTCTCTTTTTCGCCACCCAAAAAGAAAAGGAAAAAAAAATGGCAGTTCTTGACGATTCTGCAACGAAATGGGATCAGGGAGGAGGAAGAAGAAGATGAGTTTTTGGCATTCTTGGTTGTGTTTTTCCCATGAAAGAGCCCGAAACAGAATGCTTGAATATAGGAGAAAATGAGAGGAGAAACAGAGGAGAAGGAGCTTGAGCTTTTGCCATGGAGGATTCCTCCATTTGTAGTAAATTTTTTATTTTTTCTTTTGAATTTCCTTTCTGGTTATGCTAAAAATAACCACTGTTTTACTCTAAATTGATGACAGCCCAATGAGAAGTGGTCAACCTTGTGCTCAAAAGCATGGGGAATTATGGCTGGATCTCTCATAAATGTGCTCAAAGTTTTATCTCTTTGCACCACATCCAATTTCACAATCATAATCAAATTTCTTGGTTTCAATAGGGGATGTTTTGGTTTCGAAGAATTTGTTTTTTGTTTTGGTTCATTTTGTTTCCGGTAGTTTAAAATGGTGGTTCAATTTGATTATTGTACTTTATCTTACATCGTTAGTTGCAATATATCTATATAAATTCTATGCACAACAAAAATTTTGAAATTTTTCAAGATTTTTATAGAGACAGTGTCATAAACAAACATTTTTAAAGTATAAAAATGAAAATAGACATTTTGAAATTACAAAGGCTAACATGAATAAAAACAAAGAATATACTGACAAAAATAGGATTAAAACCCAATTGTAATATGTGCTTGCATTTTGTAAATAAATTGAATTAAGGGCAATATTTGTAGTAAATTTTATGTGTATGTCATAAGGTGAGTTTCACAAATGTAAATTTATATTGATAACTTTATGTTTATATTAATTTGTTCTGTCAAAAAAAAAAGAAAAGAAAAGAAAAAAGATGTGTAATTTGAAAGATCAGTAAATTTGTGGCATGAGATAAAGTTAAAAAATGATATAAAAATGGAGTAAAAAATAAAACGAAATTTGAAATTGAAATTTCCCTTTCTTGTCTTACGGAAATAATAATACTAGTAACATGTAAAAAATGTAAACTGTAAAAGACTTGTCTGGGAATTTCAGGAATTTAATTTTCAAATAATTTCCTATTTTATTCTCTAAACTGTTTCTAAAATTTGAGGCAACAACTCATAAATATTGTTACACTTACACATTAATATCACTATTTCCTTGAAGGAAATTAAATTGCTCAACAATTTGTTTTTTCTATAATTTTGCTTGAATATGAATACATTTTGTTCTAATCTGTGAGTCTGCTCTTCATTTCAAAAAACAAAATGAAAAAATGAGTGGCTGAGAAAACTAGTGGATATAAAAACAAACATTTCACAATTGGAATGCTCAATAAATTGGGAACAAAATAATTCCATCATCTTCTTAGCAAGCTGCAAATAATGAAATGTGATTTGGTTCCAAACTATTGACCTATTCAATGAATGAATGAAGTGAAAAACAAAAACAAAAACAAAAAATACTGCTTTTATTTGCAAACTTTGACTGATTGACTAGTTTACATTTCAACATTCAAAGCTCCCAAACCAACCAAACAAACAGAGAGATTAATGACAACAATCATCAACTGAACAGAAATTTCTTACATATTACAGATATTTTCTCAGCAGAGATCACAAAACTCAAGAACAGAAGAAGTAAAGATTCAATGGGAATTCCCCACATACAGAGGAAAATTCAACAAGAAAAGTTGATCCATAAGAACTCACCAGTCAGTCACCACCAACCATAAAGCATTTGGGTGTACTTATCCTTGAGCCATCTGAAGCTCTTTCTGAAGGAGCCCTTCATCTTCCCTTCCACAGAGTACATCTTGTAGCTGGCGACCCTCTTCTTCCTCTGAAACTCGGGGTCTGCGAACCGCCATGATTTGGAAGAGGAAGAAGAAGATCTAGAAGTGCTTTTCCCTTTCTTCAGATTCACTTCCTTCCCTGAAACATGGCTGGAAGCACTGTGGGTTGTGAGGTCATAAGGGGGAGGGGGTGGCCTTGGGGGCCCATAATAGCTCTCAATCTGCATCGACGATGCTCGATAAGAAGGTCTTCTGTCATCATCCATGGAGTTTTGGGGGATCTGGAAGTCGTAGGAGGAAGAAGAAGAAGAAGAATGGGAGTGATGAAAACGTGTGTGCAATAAGGGAGAGAAGAGGGCTGATGGGTTGGCTTTTGGATTTCAACTTGGGAGAGTTGAATTTTATAATGTTATTGGAAGTTGGAAGGACCTGACTTTTGGAATTTATGCCTAAGTTGTATTCTTTTGTTGAATAGTTTAGGCTTTCTTTTCTCTCAACCGAAAAGGGGGAGGGAGAAAAAAAAATAAGAAGAAGAAAGGAAACTACTTTGAGATTCTTCGACCAATGCAACAAAAATGAGTTTCATGATATATGATTATTTGAAAATATCTAAGAATTACATGGTCGGCTAGAAATCATCTAATCTTGTTAGTAGATCTCATAGATACGTGAATAAGAGAAATAAAATGTATATTTGACTCACAATTTGAACATAGGTTACACAAACTCAAGTCTCAAAAACTTGTATCGAATGTTGGTTCAATTCAACGCCCTTGAGAGGTGAACTTCCAAGAGGCTTTGAGAGGTAAAAAAAAAAGAAAGAGAAAAATGTTCAGACTTACCTTCTTTCTTTTCCATTATTCCCAGCTCAGAGTCGAGATTAGAAAATCCATTAATTTGTTGAAGACATGATCAATGACCCTGACCCAGAAGCAACCAGACGAATTTAACAATTAACATCAGAAATAAACAAGTAACAGATCTGCGTTTCTCACAGAGGGAATCCTCTGTTATATGGAAATCAAAGCCAAGCACAGCACAGAGTCTTCAATTTTATATCAACACAAAATAATTTGTTTATCTTATCTCTCAACGCATGATTGTGGTAACTTTGTGGCATATTTTTATTAGTTTATTCAAAAGTACATGGACCCACCGATGTGTTTAATCCAATATAAACATCACATGTGGACTTTCCAGCTTATATTTTTCTGAGGAATCTAGGATTTCCTTTATGATTACCAACTAAGCCTGTCGATAAACTGTACAGTATTAAAGAATCCACCCCACCACAATAATTCAAAAGCATGGCCGAACAAGTCACAATTTATAATGCATCATTAAATCCTCGGTCATTTTGCATAATTACATTCCTCTCAGACAAACACAAGACAAAAGGTTCAAATCAAGAGTCCAAAACAAGGTAACGGCAGCCAGTTGTGCAATGCCCGCTTTGGACTCGAAAATACAGAAACAAACTTGTGACAAAACTTGCAACATTGATATTCTTTTTCCACTCTCAGAAGGCAGCGCCATAAACAATGGCCAGGACCCAAATGCCGCAAAATGGGGGCAAAGTTCACCCATACTAAAATCCATCGATCCCGAATCAAAGGTCCACTCCATGAAACTGCTGAATAAGGGGCCCCCCTAAAAGGCAACTACCTAGAGAAAAACAAAGGAAACAAAACAGAGGCAAAATTAAAGCCATTTTTACCTGGCTCGATTGGAACTGCATCAAATGAGGTCGGCAACATTTGCTGGCAGCTCCTCGACCACGACATTGTAGAACTTCTGGATGTCGAACAGCATCCTTTCATCCTCTGTGGTCACGAAATTGATGGCAACACCCTTCCTTCCAAATCGTCCACTACGACCAATTCGATGGAGGTAGTTCTCTGGCTGAGTAGGGAGATCGTAATTTATCACAAGAGAAACTTGTTGGACATCAATTCCTCTGGCTAAGAGATCAGTAGTAATGAGGACACGAGATGAACCAGACCGAAACTCCCGCATTATGATATCTCTAGAGTTTTGGTCCATGTCTCCATGTGTGGCAGAAACAGTGTGGTCACGGCTGCGCATCTTATCTGTAAGCCAATCTACCTTGCGCCTGGTATTCACAAATATGACACTCTGGGTAATTGCCAAAGTTTCATAAAGGTCACAAAGAGTCTCGAGTTTCCACTCCTCTTTATCAACGTTGACATAGAATTGCTTGATACCCTCAAGGGTGAGCTCATCCCGTTTCACCAAAATCCGCACAGGTTTGTTCATAAATTTCCTCGTTATCTCAAGAGCCTCAGGAGGCATTGTAGCAGAGAAAACCCCAACCTGAATCTTTGGCGGAAGAAGCTGAAAAATATCGTAGATCTGTGCATATTGAAACCAAAGCAATTAGGGTAGAAAAATAATAATAGAATAAAGCAAGGCAAACCACAATTTACGTGTCTAGCAGAAATTTACTACTAGAATAGTGGTCATAAATAAAAAAAAAATTTGACCCTCTTGAAATTTTGTATACTACATGCAGATGGAAGATCATGCCTAATATCAAGCAATTGGAAAAAAGATAGGTCGAATGAGAAATAAAAGGACCTGGTCCTTGAACCCTCGTGAAAGCATTTCATCAGCTTCATCCAGCACAAACATCTTAATGTGATCAGGGCGAAGTGACTGCCTCCGCAGCATATCAAACACACGACCAGGGGTACCAACAACGACATGAACACCACTTGAGAGAATGCGCTGATCTTCACGGACACTGGTTCCACCAACGCAAGCATGAACCTTGACACCAAGATAATCACCTAATGCACGCATAACCTTCTCAATCTGTTGTGCCAACTCTCGGGTGGGCGCAAGAACCAGTGACTGGCAATCAACTAGCCCATAATCCAGCTGCTGCAAAATTCCAGAGCAGAAAGTGGCTGTTTTTCCAGTTCCAGATTGTGCCTGTTGGATCACATCAAGTCCCTTACAGAAGGGAACAATACCCCTTTGCTGAATTGCAGAAGGCTTCTCAAAACCTATAAGTTGGACCCAGAACTACATAAGACTATTGTCACACAGGCTCACAGATTTCAAGTTCACATTTAGAAAAATTAAGCAAAAGGGGCAAAATATTGGAGCATGCGAAGGAAACAAATAATTTTGCATGAGGCTTCATACGCAGAACAACAGAAAAGGGATGGAGGAAGAAAAAGAAGAGAGAATGTATACCATAAGCGTATATTCCTCTTAAGAGGTTCTCCTGCAAGCCCATGGAATCAAAACTGTCATAGACTTCATCATATGAGGTGAAAAAATCTTGGCCATCTCCTCCAAGTCTACAGCAAATATTCATTGTACCAGTCAAGTTTTGAAGAGGAAAAAGAAATGCAACAGATTAGTCTGAATACAGTCAAGATATAGGGGGAAGGGAGAAAAAGTGAACTGAAGTGTGAAAAAAAGAAGTGAATACTATATATATGTGTGTATATATTTTATGAGAAAGGCAACTTTCATTGATAGTAAATGAAAGAATACAAGAGGGAAAGCCCAAACCAAAAGGAGCCAAGAAGCAACTAAAATAACAGAAAGCAAAAAGAGAAGAAAATTAAAGAAATGGCTCCAATTCAAAAGAATGAGAGATAAAGGATAATCACTAAAGTCTTTGGTGATGGAAGCCCAAAGGGAGGCGTTGAACTTACCCAAGTCCCAAACCTCCTCCCAAGAATTTTCCTTATCACTAAAGACTCTCCTAATTTTCTCCCATGAATTTTTCTTATCACCAAGACTCTCCTAATTTTCTCCCAGGAACTTTCTTATCACTACAGTTAATATATACAATACAAGACTCATTTTACAACCCATTGGGAAAGGTAAGGAGAGAGAGATCTCACAAGTCATTCATCTTGGTATCATATTGACGTGCATCAAATTGTGTTCCTTCAGGTGCCATACCAGCCATATCTGGAAACAAATACAGATTTCTAATCAGATCATCATTGCTTCCTTACCCAAGAGGTAAAAACTATACGTAGATCCATCCACATACTGATACATCAAAATCCAAACATTAAAATAATGTTGTGAAACTATATTTATCAAATAATTTTTCTGTCCTGGAAAACCAATTGATCAAAGTAGACAGCCTGGGGTTTAGATCAGGTTTCAATGAATTAGTAAACATCAGGATATTGAATTTGTTACCTCCTGAGCTACAACGAGGTAAGAAAAAAACGGAAGGACATATAGTAAGTGTTGCTGGATTCTTGTTGACATAGCATGCAAGAAGTGAAGTTTTCAACTAAGTGCTACAGTACACCATCTAACACTATGAAGGTCAAAAAGCCACGATCATCCTCTCCCTCCTACAGAACCTCCCCTCCACTTCTTCAAAAGAAAGAATATACAAGGAAATGCTTAAAATTCTCATTCAGTCAACTGACTAATACGTGGTCACCTTAAATCATAAATGGGCAACCAATTCCAAGTACATATTTCCAATGTTATTCCTCAGGTGAAAGTACACACACTTTTTCGTCATATCAAAGGAGCAGAACCTCATAGTGCGCACGAAGATTAAAGAGGCAGCAAAAAGAAAGCTTTGAATAAGATACAGTTCAAATATGACTGATCCAAGAGCGAAATCATTAAACTAGATCCATAAATCTTTCCAAATTGTACAGTGATTTGCTAAGCGCCTAAGCCATCTGAAAGAACTCTCGAGTTAAACATCAATAAATCTAATTGCATGGCATTCAGAGAACGTGTCAGTGCACGAGATAAATACAACCAATACAGATCAAAACACTCATACTAAAAGGGATCCCAAATTCTAAAAAACAATGAAGAATGCCGCAGACACTTTCTCCATCACACAATCTACAGCCCCTAGATCACAAAGATCGCTTCCATTCGAACTCTCCGACTCCGTTAATAAGTAAAACTTTCCCGAATCTTCTGACCCAACAGTCAATCGAACAGGCAGAAATCAGAGGATCCATGACAAATAAATTCAAGCAAATAACACACGAGTATGTAAAAAGTGACAGAGAAATCAAGGAGATGAGCATAGAGCACCTGAAAGTGAAAGCGAGAGCGAAGATTGACGAGTAATGAGTGAGAAGAAAAGAAATTCCCAACTCCTCGGATCTCTGGGCGAATGGGTATCGGAGGAGTTCGAAGAAGGTCACGTCACGCAAGAGGATAGTAATGGAAGATTGAAGTTGCCAGAAAATTTTGGTTTTTCCCGGAAAATTTCTCTGTCATCGCGTGGATTCCGTTCCACTGCCCTGTATGCATTCTATTGTTTGTTTCGTGGCCCGCCTCCTCTGGCCCAGTTACTACAATTGGGCTACTTTTTAGAGCATTTTTAGGGCTTCAAAAAGTTCAAAACTTTAATTGTAAGAAAATTTTTCAAATATTTTTTTTTTTGGTAGATGTAAAATTAGGTGCATTTTAGTTGATACATTAGTCCATGGTTCAAACTCGTTAGGTTACATTTGATGTTGATTAAATTTTAATTTGATTAATTTTTGTAGTTCTGTAGTTGAGCATATATATTGTTATAGGTAAAATCATTTGTTAAGTTCACTTGATAAATAAGGTTAGAAAAAAAATATATGATGCGGGTTAAACTATCTAGATCATGTCGGTCAAGTCACACCGATCGAGTCAACCAGATCCGATTCGAGGAGGCTGCCTCTATTAAAATAGAATTCTCATGTGCAAGGGATATTTTAAATAACTCTACTCTTTACTGTAACATGCTTGATGTTAAGAAAAGATCTTTTACAGGAAGGTTGGCTAGAGATTTTTTTGTAAGACATCATAGTTGATCTTAGCTCATATTTGAAATAGTGTAAACTTCGTTATTAGAGATTTTTCCCGTACAAGAATTTGATAGCTCATTCGTCATTGTTGCATCAAATTTATTCTCTAAATAATTTGCGACCAGGTATGTTCATTATATGGACTAAAACTTAATAATTTTTACCTTATTAAGTTTTTTTATTATATATAATATTTTCTAAGTACCTTTCAATATCGCGTACAATAATTTTTTATCTCAAATTTGATTTTTAGTGTTTACGGTCAAAATTAGACTAAAAATGTATCAATTCAATATAAGAACGTGTAGTTAAAAAACATATTATATCATAAATATCGATTTCAACTCATAACTGCTTAGAAAAAGTAGAGATGATTAGATTATCCAAATAATTAAAAAATTAAAATTTTATTGTTGAAACATAAATAAGTCCTAAACACAAAATCTTTCATGGAATGTATTTGGTGGTAGCCGAAAGTGAATTAAAAGATAAGGTGAATGGATAGGTGCATATTGCATAGCCTACAAATAATAGAGAAGAGGAACAATATAATATATGATACAATATGCATATATATCATATATTATTGGGTATCAATTCCTTCAAATCTCTTTTTTGCTTGGAATGGATAGCCATTTCCCATAACTCTTCTACTTCCCAAAAAGGAAAAATCTAGAAATTGCAAGTTAGGTTGAGTTATATATATTGGTTTTGTAGTTTGAGTTTAATTTTAATTTGGGTCTCTATAATTTTTGTAAAATCTTTCTTATTTGGTTGATGTGTTAAAATTGAGTAAATAATATCTTGAAAAAATGTGGATTTTTTTTTTTTTGAGTTCAACGTGTGGGGTAGAGGTAGGAATAGGGATGTTAGTCTCGACCTTTTAGTTAATGATATATGTCTTAATTAGTTGATATTGAACTGATGAAACTTTGAGTGGGTGTAAAAAGTGGCTTAAAGACCACAAAATCGAATTAAGTTCATATCATCGTGACTAAATTAATATTTAACCCTAGCTAACTTATCATGAAGCTATTTTTCAAGACAAATTTTCAATCTATGAAAATAAAAATTGTATAAAAATGTATTTGAATGACTATTTTTTTCAAAATAGAAAAAAGGAAATTGTTTCGTTTGACTATTTTTTTCAATACAATATAGAAATTTGTATTGTTGTTACTCTTTCTAAAATCACGAATTTGTGAACAGTGTATACAATGTGTATTATTTAATTGTTATAAAAAAATGTGTATTATTTAATCGGTTCTATTAAACTTTTAAAATTATTTTAAAGACAATGAAACAAATTATATATTTTTAGGAAGAAATAATGTACTTTGGTCTAAATAAAAGCAAAATTAATCCATGATGTAAGAGAAATTTAAATTGATGCGAAAAGATTTAAACTCTAAGAGGGATACTAAGGATGACAAAAATTCATTAATTATAAAGAACTAATTTGTAGCAATTATTGGGAACATAGTCAAATATTCTTCACTTAATATATATATAATCAATATTAAAGCATATATACTTATGGAATAATTTGTGTAAAAGCATATAATACTTGTTGGCTTGCTTTATAAATGTGCAGTTTAGGCCAAGTGCCATCTGGATATGAAGAAATATTTGTTCGTTCTTAAAAGGAAAAAAGATAAGAGGAAATGTGTTCGTATTTTTTTTTTTACAAAGTGTTCGTATCTGATTGGATAATGATCTCTAGAATATTTTGATTCTCTAATTCTCATTTTCATTTCCATTTAGAGAAAAATGGTTTTTTCTCAACGAGTAAAGACATTATTTATCTCAAAATTAGAGATTCAAACCTCTGTCACCCCTTAAAAAAATGACTCTGCTCAATTCAGTAACCTTTTAATTTCTTTTATTTTTCTCTTTAACAAAGAGAATATTTCTCGAACCATGTTTTGCTCAGTTAGATGATGCATGACAAGAAATAGCAACAAAAGAAAAAAGAGATCAAATAAAACCAAAAAATACATTAAAAAATAATTGATTGTATATAATGGATAAATTACGGTATATAATTTTCATTTATTCAAACATGGTATAAATTTGCAAGTATTTCATATTAAGTTTGGATTTCAGTCTTTAAGACTCTTGGCAATAAATAAAACATATTATTCATTTCCAAATCGAGAGATTGCGAAGAAATAATAATTATTTGAAGAAGCTTTATTTTAAAAAAATTGCGAATTTCAGTTTAATTTATAAGCATAGTTCAGGAGTATTGACACTCATCTCCAACTATAAAGGTTGTGAGTTTGAATCCCCCCACAAATTTATATTGCTAAGTAGAATTTTTTCGTACATGCAGAAAAATCCAACGTACTTATCCCAATGGAGTCGGAGAATCCTTAGTTTGATCAAGTACGGGATCAAACCAGAGATTTTAATCGAGATTAGGCATGGACACGAAGGGAATGGGGAAGAGTATCCCCGTCCTACCCCACCCCAAAATATTTTATCAAATTTAAAAACCTCTTAAATTTATTTCCCTTTTTGTTCCTAACTCGCGGGGAACCATCCCCATTGGGAGAATCTCCACCCCCGACCCCATCCAACCCTGTTGCCATCCCTTATCGAGAATTAGGCAGAAGGATCAAATATGAGAAGATGAAAAAGGATATGCATGGCATGGGTGCTTTTGATTTTGTGCTTTATTCCGTACGTGATGCGACCAGCCATATCTATTTATATATCTCTCTCTCTTTGTGAGTATATATAATGCCCTTTGAAGTTGCGTTTTTTATTTCCTTCATATATCAATAAATCCATCTCATGATCATCTAGATCTTTCAAGTGAGATGAAGAAATTAAATTAGATCATGAATATTGAATAATGGAGCTACGGATATAATTATTTTCTCAGGGTTTGAACAATATATTATATGTTAAGGAGGTGACAGAAGAGAGAGAGCACACATGGTTGTTTTTCTAGCATGCATATTGCAGCTTGAAGCTCTGTGTGCTCTCTCTCTCTCCGTCACCTCTCTCTCTCTCTCCAGTCTTATTTTCTGTTTGTTTGATTTCTGTGGTGATTTTGTGAGTTATATTGAGCTTATTCCATAATTTGCTTCTTGATCTTGCCGTGTAGGGGGACGAGTTTCACATCGGTTAGAAGTCGGAGATTGAGTGCATGCATGGTGGAACTGATACGAATAATGTCGTTCTAGGTATGGCGACTAGGAAGGAGAGGATTGAGTTTGTGGTATAAAAGTGAAATGTGTCATTATTGGGACGAGACTTTTTGAGTGAAGTTATGCATGTACCATGTACAGCGGTAGAGTAAGGAAATTTTTTAAAGGATGAGCAAAATTTTGCTTCTAATATTTTAGAGTTGGACAAACTCTAGGAGGTCCAAAAAATAATCTTAGGTGCACATCTTCGTCTCATATCCCGTCATTTGTTTCATGGGAATCCAAGATTCTCATGAGACGAGCATCTAAATTTCTGTGTTTATTTTGGTCGTTGTAGATGAGAAGCATCTAAATTTCTGTGTTTATTTTGGTCGTTGTACCTTTAGTTTTTGTTCATTTTGATCTTTATAGTTTTAAAATTTTCATTTTGGTTTCTATAATTTCAATTTTGGTTTATTTTAATTTCTATATTTTAAAAATGTTTATTTTTGTTCTGGTAGTTTTAAAGGACGGTCATTTTGGTCCAGTGGTCAGCATGACATTATATTAAAGAATTTCAGTTACGAGAGAATTTATGAATAAGAATTAAAATGGTCAACATTTTAAAAAATACACTAATCAAAACGAACATTTTAAAAATATAATAATTAAAATGAATTAAAGTAAAACTTTTTAAAATTACACGAACAAAGTTGAAAGTTCTATCTTAAACCAAAATAGTATTTAACCGAAAAGAAAGTAACAGAAGAGTTAGTTTCTAATGCAAACTTGTGAGAGCAAAATGGAAGGTTTAAAAAGTTCACTAAAATCAAATAATCATAAAAGTTCAAAGATTTACATACACCATGTGATTAGTAATTCACATAAAACAACCATTCAAACAATTCCCTAACATATATATAGAAATTTACATAACCCATTAATTAAACAAATAACCCAAAAAAAAAACAATCTTTTAATCTTTAATTATGGACAAACGAAAATCATATTACTAAATCTGATCAATGAGCATAAAAATCCAAACTTCGAAGAAAATTACAAGGTAGTTCCTAAATTCTAGTTGCCAAACAAATTTTATAAACCCCATTAGAGTTGTTGGAGCCAAACTTTGAAAATTACAGAGCTTCACTTCACCAGCAAGAAAACATGAATTGGAAGACAAACAGAGCACAAAGCCACGTCGCCGGAAGAGACAGAGAAGACGATTTCGAGGCGTAGAAGTAGTAATTATAAGCATTGGAATTCGTATTTCCATGAGGCGCCGCCGTCTTCGGCGGCACAGGTACCGGAATCAGCACCGGCGGCGGTGGAGGCAAGTTAAAGTAGTAATTGAAAGCAGGAGGCGGTGGAGGATGAGATAAAGCCGCCAGCGGTGGCGACGGCGGCGGCGGCGGCGGCGGAGACGGTGACGGGGTTGGCCGAGGTGGGGACGGGGATGGGGGTGCGTTGAGTGGGACGTAGGCCAGCGGCGGCGAGTGGGGCGGAGGTGACTTGAGAGCCGCCGTGGGCGGCGGCGGCGGCGAGCATATGACAGGGCAAGTTGAACACTCGCTGATACAGAGTAGACTGACCGGAGGGACCACCTCGACCAGACGGTGGTCTTCAGACGCCGCCGCAGCTCCGGCGAGGTCAATGATCAGAAGAATCGAGAGGCAAGAGAAATGGAAAATTCTTCTGAAATGTTCCATGGCTGAAGTTAGTTTCAGTTGCAGAAAGGAGGAAGCTTTGCAGAAGTGGGAGTTGAAGTGGCGAAGAACAACTTATGAGATTTTGCTTTTGCACTTTTACAGTTGGATTTTGTGTGCAATTGGTTACTTATAAACTTGTACTTTGATTCCATTTAATCTTGATTAATGGGTTTTTGGCTTTGTATTAAAGTTTTTTTTACTCCAATTTAGTCCTATATATTAAGGTATTTAAGTAAATAACATAAAACAAATATATTTTTTCAAATGCAGGAGAAAATTTTGAAATTTTATGAAAGTAGCATAATTCAATTTAAATTTAAAGCCGTAACGTAAAAAACACTAAGAAAAGTCAAGCTCATGTTCTATTTAAATAAATGGAAAGTTAATTAAAAATTGAAGGTTAAATTGACTTCTTTCAAGAGGCATGCATAAAAAATAATTTTTTTTTCTTTAAACATAATACAAACTGTTAATAGATTTCATAGTATAAGATGGAAAATCCCTAAGAAAACTTGTTTCTCACTCTATATCTCCATTTCCTTATACCTTTCTCAAAACATAATCAACCTTTATATTGATTCCTTCACTCTAATCCTTCTGTTCTTGTTTGCTTTATACTTTTCTTCCCAACCTGGCCTCCTCAATTCCTTCAAGGTTGCCTCTAACAAGAAGCAATGCATTACAAACAACTCCATGAATTAAAACTAATATAATTCTATGTCAAGCTGCAAACATAACAACTTAAGAATTAAGACATGATTAATTTGATGGTCTGAACTCAAAATTCCAGACATAAGGCAAGAATATGTAACAATCTCAGTCTCACCCTCCCAAATATTCACAAAATTCTCAACAGAATCAGATCATTTAAGCCATAAACCAACCCAACAGATATTTATAGTATTGACTGAACATGTAACAGAGCAAATGCATACAAGATCAGATGAGTCCTTCATTGTTAGTATAAACTATAAGTTTGTGTTACGTTCCAGCTGATAATGCCACAACTTGTGATGAATACAAGTTAAACGGATTATTTTGATCTGCACGACTTGGGATTAAAGAAAAGCTATTACGAATTTACGATGGTGTTCTTTTTTCTGGAATGATGTAACCCACGATAACTTGGAGTCGGTTGATTTACTCATGGAGTGATGAGTTGAGCCGTTGATAGGATCAGATCATCTCACAACTCTCTGCCTGGTTGCACAGATCAATCAGAATCTTCGGATACATGTTTGAAGGATCATACGTCTTCCTAGCACCGGTAAGATCTTGACAAGCTAAATTTCTTCAACATAGTTAATCCTTGGGCTTCTTGCCAGTTCGAATGAAGAACTCCATTACCACAGCCCCTCTGTAATCAGTGTCATTAAATTCAGGCAACTTTCCTCCTATGGGTTAGCTGGTCTTTCATATACCGTCACAATCGTATAACACAGGCCCCTCTAACTTCCTTCATCAGTGAAACTCAATCTTGAATCCTGGTTTAGGGAATAAAAACACTGAACATCATTGTTAACAGGCCTAAAGTATTATTATCTTTGACATGTAAAAAGATAAAGTTGGTGAAGATATGTTCATTCAAATAATTATGATTAAAAGAAATGCTAAGTTATGATTTGAATTCTCTGACTTATAAAATTAAAACCATATTTTCACTTAAATATAAGCGAGTTTTGGACCTCAGTTGATGACTGTGGCCTCGAACTGGAACTTGATGCGGCAGAGCGTGGAAAGTGACCAAGATTCCTACTGTCACGTTTATCAGAACTCCTCCCAATATCTCTTAACCTGTTAAGCTCTGGAACTATAACTGTTCCAAGATCTGGCCTGTCTCTCTTCCTCAATTCAGCGCACGTCAATGCCAGTTTTGCAAAATTTATAGCCTCCTCCAATGGACAATCTGAAATTGTAGGGTCCATCATCTCATCAAACTTCTCTTTCTCAATGGCCCTCTGAACATGGTGAGCCAGACCCATTGGAGGCTTGGCAGTAATAATTTGAAGTAGCAATATTCCAAACGAGTAGACATCTGACTTTGTCGTTAACTTTCCTGTTTGTTGGTACTCAGGATCAATGTAACAAAACGTGCCAGCTGCTGAGGTCAAGTGATATTGGGTGACTTGATCAGCTACAGAAGGTGGGACTAGTCGAGCTAGGCCAACATCACTGATTTTGCTCACATAATTGCGGTCCAAGAGAATGTTAGCTGGCTTAAGGTCCCTATGCACAAGTGGGTCTGGCTTTGCTTGGTGAAGAAAAAGAAGTGCAGTTGCAATTTCGGCAGCTACTTTGAAGCGTCGTCTCCAAGATAATGGAGGAGTATTCCCTCTCCGGAAAAGTCTATCTTCTAAGCTCCCATTATGCATGTACTCATATACCAAGCAACCATACTCGGGGCATGCTCCAAGAAGGAGGACCATGTTTGGATGTCTAATGCAGCACAGAACCTCCACCTACAAAATGATTTAGAAAGGAAAATTTGAATGAATCCATGAGATAAATTTATGCCACAAAATTACATCTGAGCACTTCCTCAAATTCTTGTCCGTGTTAATTGAGTTTGAAATTATAGTTGTTCCATAAACAATATAAGTTACATCATTTTTGGCACAGAGAAGAACCATATGTATACCTCTTGTTGGAATTGTTTCCGCCCTTGAGCAGCGTCAGGTCTTAAAACTTTAATGGCAACAGCTGTATGATCAAGTTTGCCTCCATAAACAGGACCGTATCCACCTTCTCCAATCTTCAATTTTTCAGAGAACTTTTCAGTAGCTTCCTCAATCTCCTCTATGGTGTATTTTCTATAACGGACGTCATTCTGAGCTAGAGCACTCAGTGCTCGTTTTTTCTCTTCTGCCTCACGTCTGGCCTTCATTTCAGCCTGTTTTCTTCTCTGGGCTTCTCTTTCAGCAAGCTTTTGTGCTGCCTCTGCTGCTTCAATGGCAGCTTTACACTTAGCTTTCTCCATCTCAGCAATAGCAAGAGCAGCCTCTTCAGCTAGCCTGACTTCCTCAAACTTACGTGCCTCATCTTGCTTCCACTGACTAAGTTCTCTAGCCTGAATTTCAAGACAGCACTTTATATGCATTTTTTCCTTCGACTCGGAACAAAGCGCAACTCCAAAATTTCATTTGAGATTTACTTAATTAAATCACTCTATTTATTATTTAACTAGCAAAGCATTTAGTTAGATATAAACCATCCAAATGTTGAGAACCCAAGCTAATGACTGATATTTGAGCAACCACCATCAGTAAAGAGATTTGTCTTATATTTACCTTATTCTTGGCTGAGATTGCCTCTTTGCAAGCTGAGCTATACATATCCATGGTTTGCTTTAATTCCAGCTTCAATCTTTTCATCTCAGCCTCCAGCTCTCGCTGTAAGAAAGGAGTCAATATAGATGTTAATCAATGGAACTGCAACTACATAACTATCATAAGCATAGAATTTTCAAATGCCAATGAGCAATGTACACTTACAGTAGATTGTGTGGAAGCCGAGTCGGTTGACGCACTTGAGCTTATACTGAAATCCAAATTTTGACCACTCACATCCATTGAACCAAAAGGCATCTGTGCAGTCAACATATTGTCATCGGAGATCGAATCACGGCTAAATGAAGTCCTAGACCCTCGGTTTGGAACTTCTATAGTTTCCATTGATATATTAGTAGGAGAAGTTTTTGGCCTCTCACGGGTCAACGCTTTTGCTGGTTTTCCATTCTTTTCTATGAGAATTCTCTCTGAACCCGTACTTTTCCGTCCTTCCCTTGCTGGTTGCCCTCTATATTTACCAAATAAAAATTCAGAAGATATAAAACTATATAACTTTCTAAAAACAGAAGTTATGCGAGTAGTAATTGGAAGTTAGTTCTCAGAACTATATTACTTGGCTCCATTTTCTAGTTCGTAGCTGCTGTCTGGTTGAACATTTGGCTGAATTGCAAGGGGCGACGGTTGTCTTGGTGGCATGGCAGTATTAGCCACTGGCCGAAGAGCTGCCCTGGCTGATATTATCTTCCCTTTTGATATTACATACACAGAACAAAACTCCGGGGCAGTTTTTATTACGCTGGTTGGAACATCAGGACCTTTAAATTTCCTGAGACACCCCACTCGTTAGAAATTCAAGTTACTCTTCACAAATAAGAGAGATAGACAGAGGGAGGGAGAGTAAAAAAAAGAGAGAAACCTTGCTAGAGCACTCCTTGTCGAAGAACCGACAACAAAATTATTGATGCAATTCTTGTGGACATAGTCGACAAGTGCTCTGGGAACGTCAGTATCGTCAAGAACAACCTCCCTCAACTGAACCTGAATTTCATAAGCAAACATCCTGAGTTATAATTTCTCAACGTTACTCAACCACTTAGAGAACTTTTTTACACCATAAACCATCTAGCCAATGCAACCCCAGGAACCAATTCCCATACTTCATTTTTGTTATCATTCACAAACAATGCTATTTTCATATTTTCCTTTGTGGAAATTACAAGCATTTTAAGGCCATGATTCAATCATTTCGAATACTATTTTCCTAAAAACGTTTCCAACGGCAATCTATAAACTAACAAACCCAAGAAGTTCCAGTCAGACATATTCACAAACACCTAAAGGGCATAATACAAATGCCATTAATATGCAGCATATGATTGAATAGATGAAGTACCCCTTTACGAGCACAATATCCACGGTAGGGAACGAACAGCTGCTGCGCATCAGTTTCGCCATTTTCAGAATCGCCCGCGCTCTCTAAGAAAAAAAAAACCCACAGAGAAGCCGGAAAAACCCCCCGAAAACAATCAGAAATTACACGAACTCGGAAACCATGCTAATAAGAATGACATAAAAAAAGATAGAGGGTACCTACGATGTTGATTAGATTTATGTCTGACATGGATGAGAATAATGAGCGGGTTGCTTATCACCAGATGATCAATGGCCCATCGGACGGCGTGCTGACTGTTCTTATCCTTGTCAATGGCCACCGCCGTGGTGTTTAACGGAATCCCATCTTCAGGTGGATACGACGGAGACATTCTGCAAACAAGCTCAAGGTTCCTGCTGCCGCAACCACTTGATTTAGCCGAAAATTTTCCTTTGTAGAGTGCAGTGGGGGCGATGGTGGAGAGGCGTGAAGGTATTCTTTGGAGAAGATAACAGACATAACAGACATTTTAAGAATGGCGATTCTGGGCCATCCGCTTGATTTAGGCAAATTTGACCAGGCCATGACCAACGGGAGATTTGGGTCTGAAACTGAATGGTAGCGCCCTCGATCGCCATTGCCGTGTGGATTACGACCATGGTAATCTTTGTTTTCCCCTCAATTTTTGGAACTCTTCGCTGGCCCTTGGCGGCAGCCTGCGGTGTGGGTTGGATTTTATCGTTTCAATGCCTTCGAAAATCGAAATGCCCTCTCCTTGATTTACTCTGCTCTTCCTCTGTTTTGGATTTTGCATAATCTTAAGATAAAGTTTTTTTTTATTGAAAAAATAATAATAAACCTGGTTTGTTTCTATACTTCAAAAAATAATAATAATAAATCTGGAAATAAAAGAAAAATAATATACTTCAAAAGGTTTAAATTTATTGTTTTTTTGTTTGTAATAAAATAGGATAAGGACATTTAAACCTCCAAAATTGCATTAAGTAGATGTCATTTATCGTTGAGCAATGACATTTTAAAAGATTTTCTTAAATTTTTCATAATTGTAAATTTTGTATTTTACGTCTGATAAACTCATGTGTTAACCTTATTAATTCATGATTACATTACCGATGACTTTAACATGTTACATAAAATAACATAGTCCCTATGTATTAAACGAATTAAATTAACAATGAGGATCTATTAGATAAAAATTTAAATTTTGGTGATTTATTAGAAACTTTAAAAAGAAAATCAATCATATAAACATAATTTTGAAAGTTTATGAATCAAACTTGCAATTTAACCTAAAATTTAGTTACCAAATATCATTTTGGTATTTATGACTATAACTAATGCATTGGGTATGTAAAAATAAGTTACAGTATTCTATTTTACTATACCATGGGTTAGGGCTTGATGAAAAGAGAGTAAAAAAATGTGAAATTTAACTTAACCATTTGGATTAAATGACAACTTTCAAAATTATAGGCGTCAAAATTAAAAACTAATTAAAATTATAGAGACTAGATTAAAAGTTTTGAATTAAATTAAAACATATCCAACTCATTCAGGCCAAATCGGTAATTCAACCTAAGTAGTCGGTTTTTTGTTCTTTAATCGAAACTTTTATAGCACATAATATCCTCTAATTTATTCTCATTTACTATGTAATAAGCACCAACTTCTTTTTATTTATTTTTTTCTGTGAAAAAAAAAAGAGAAAAACTTCTTTATTTTTCAATTTTTATTTTTTTGATATGAGTGATTTGTTTTATCGCGTTCAAATTATAACATTTTAGTCACATACAAATCGTCAATCAAAATATATTCAAATAGATAATAAATGTAATACTGTGAAATAAACTTTCAGCAAATTTTATTTGGTTTTTGAGTCCAAGAAAAACCATCATTTCTAATCACTAATATTTAAAATTAATTTCAATTTAGTAATTGAAGTTTTAAAAATCTCTAAAGTTTGAATTTAATTTTTAATTGATCTCAAAATTTTGAATTTGGTTTCTAATTGGTCTTGGAGTTAAGTCTACCATTAGTCAACCTAACGATATCTTTTATTATTCTTTTTTTTATAAGTAGCAAGTTTAGTCAATATGTTCACACGATCTATTGCAAGAAATGGATAATGTGGAGATGGATTTGAATAAAAACTCTTTAAAACATCGATTTGTGCTGCCCACTCTAAAGGTTTTTAATTACCGCATTATCATTTGTTACATCAATTAATGGTTGATCCAATTTAATGAACCAATTAGAAGTTAAATTCTAACTTCAGACATCCAACTCAAACTTCACATACCAATTATAAACTAAAATCAAATATGTCACTTTTGAAACTTAAGAATTAAATAAAAACTAAATTTAAATCTCAAAAATAAAAGTGACAGTTTTTTAAACGCAACGACGAACTGTAAACTAAGTCTAAACTTATGGATCAAAAATATATTTTACCCAATACTATTTCGACAATTTATGATTTTATCTCTCGTACTTGTATTTGAATGGTAAATATCGACAATTTATGACATTTGATAACTAATTTTGGTTGTGATTTTCCATTTAATTTTACAAAATATATGTTTATTTTGTTTTATCATGTACTTTGTACAACTTTGCAAAATTTATGCTAATTTTAAAAAACCAAAAAATCGTATTTCAAAAAAAAGTTTATTTATGTTTTTTTATTTAGCTAATAAATCGTATTTTTAATAAATTTAAAAATATATATTAAAGGATCGGTGGAAAAACAAACATTATTTTTTAAAATAAACTAAAAACGAGATGATTATTCTATTTTGACGTTAATATTCTCAATAGTTGTTATTTTTGAACCGACCAAATTATATTTAAGTAGAGTAGTTGAGTCTTTTTTTTCATTGTTACATTTCGTGGCTAATTGTCCACTGTGATTTGATGAGATTATATTTTTTTGAGAAAATATTTTTATATTAATTGTTTTGATTGCATTTGAACTTTGAAGGAAAAAAAATACCTTTTTTTTCAAAATTTATATTTAATTTATTTAAAAGAAAAAATAACTTGAATTTTCTTTCCCAGACACAGAGAAAATCTGAGTCTCATTTCCTACTCCATGAAATTTATGTCAAACCACTTTTGTAAAATAAAACTTAATAAATTATTGGAGATTCCTATAATTATGGTTTATTACTAAATTAATCGATTGAGTTGACTGATGGACTAAACACAATCTTTTGTAAAACCAAACAAGATTTTCTCATGTCTACTCATATATTTAATTGAAATTTTGGGTATAATTAAATTATTAAGAAAGTCAAATTATAGTTGCTTTTGAACTTTTCATTAGTCATAAAATAGTTCAAAAAAAAATTATCCGTTCATCGTGGATTGAAAAACAACAAGATAGATGCAACAAACAATATCTTATTTTTTCATTTTTAAATATGATATCATCTTTAATTAAAAATTAATAAATGTGACGATGGGAGGTAAGTATAGTAAAAATCGAATATTAAAATTTAATAAATGTTACGGGAACTAGAAAACATAGCAAATATATAATTTACGTTGACGTTAACAACTCCGCTTAAAAAGTCAAATATTTAATCGTTGTTTGAAAATCAAATCTGAATATACTTTTTAAATTTATTTTTAAATAAATACAACAATTTCTTTTTTTGCGCGGAAGAATTGTTTGACACGATAATTTTTAGGAAATACGTTCCAAATTCAAAAAGCAATATTTCACTTTTTTTCGCTCGAACTTGTTTTCCCACCTGGAAAATTTCACTATTTTATTAGTTTATACTGAACAAATAAAGAATTAAAAAAAAAACTAATTCTACGTAAATCAATAAATCATAACTATTTTTTTATTTTATTTCATATCATGGAATGTTTTAAATAACTTCTTCATTTTTTTTTAATATTTCAAAATCACCTCTGTAAATGGAAGTAGGTAACCCAACAGGTAAAATTGAAAGTTAAAACATGGTTTAAAGTAGAATTGAGAATTACATGGAGATCACTTTGTTGTTCATAATTGGATGATGATAGAAGTATGGAGTTTTATTTATTGAAAAATAATAATGTAATGATAATTAAAATTTTGATATACGAATTTAAGGTGTTTTCCATTCATCTAATGTATTCGGACTCTAAATTATTTGTCCAATAAAATAATCGCAGTTAAATGATGAATTCAACTCAATCAAATCGTCTAAAATATTTTCATTCGTTCATATCGTCAAATTGTCTGTTGTAATAAATAAAAACAAAAATAATAATTTAACGTCAACAGTATGTATGTTAGGTACCAAAATAATGAAATTTAAGCAACGAAAATTAATAGACTTGGGTTGGATTGGAAAAATGTTTTTTTTTTTCCATTCAAACAATATTTATATAACTTTTTACTCAGCTTAAAAAAAATTATGATGTTTTATTCTCGTCACTGTTAAAATTTTGACACATGATGTTTAATGAAAGAAATCACAAAAAATAGATATTTTTCTTTGATGTTTAATGAAAGGGCCGTTAAATTTTTAGGGATTATATAAGCACCTAAATATTTTTCTTTCAATCCCGTCCCTAGAAAAACATTTTCAAACCTATCTCCATCTCCATTTAAGGCAGCAGGACATGTCAATGTCTTGTGAAAAAAACTACCACTCCATATGAATTTATCATATTAAAAAAAAATCTAAGAAAATTATTGGTCAGTTTCACAAGAAATATAACTAAAGAAACACACGCCAATAAATATAAAATTCAACTAATAAACTAGGGTTGATATTGTTTATTTAAACAAATTGATATTTTTTACATCACGTTTGAGAAGAAAATGTTTCGTAGTCTTGCTTTATAAACAGAGAATAATATCGACCACTTAAACTATGTTCGACAAGGTAAATTTGCTAGAGTTCAACGGGTAGGAAGATTTAAATATATTTGCTCGGCAACCAAATTGATTCCATGAGCAAAGTGCCATCCTATACGGTGTTCGATAAATTGCACACATCTGATTGTTGAAACATATTATGATATTTTCACATGTATATAAGTTCGACATTGAACATTTCTATAGTATTGTAAGAAAAAAAAAGACAAAATATAAAAAACATCAACAAAATATTATTAATATAGATAAATATTGTCATAACAGTAATTAGTATCTACTCCTTCCATTAGGACTAGAAGTTCAAACCCCTACCCGAATTTATCGTAGCGAAAAAAATATAGGTAAAATATCAATATTAATTATTTTAAATTTATTTAGAAAAAGGTAAAATGCTCCGGGGTTAGTTTAAATATTTTTAACCACTTTATTTTTATTTTTAGATTATTATATATTTTCTGGTTGGAATCTTCACATGTTATATTATTAAAAAAGAATAAATATTTACCCATTTTCCAACATATCATATTTATTGGTCGGAGACTCGGAATTAATTTTTAGTAATAAATGTACGAGTAAGTGGAAGAAAAAAAAACGTATAAATTTTATTTATAAATTTGTTTCATTTTTGTTCATCCTTGCGACTGATTGGAAGGCGAACAACATTGTAATTAACAAAAGAACCTTTTTGATTGGATTGGAGGATTAGGAACATCATGGATTGGTGGGCTTCCCACGGTTCGACACGTGTCCTATTCTCTAATCTTCCTCTCTACAAAAAAGAGAGAAAATTATATTTCTTTTTGATTTTTTTCCCTCGTATTTGCGTACTTCTCTGCAGCATTCGCATTTTTTTTTTCTGGGTCGTGCAATTGCTGTTAGTTTAAGTGGTAAGCAACCCTCAATTTCTTGCTTCTTGATTCCCCTGGTTTTCTTTTTTCTCTCTCCCCCCCGCTTTTTTATGCTTGTTGGGCTTTGTGGATTTGTGATGTTGAAGCGGAAAAGGAAGGCCTTCGGAGGAGAGAGAGAGAGGGGGAGGGGAAGACTCTACAGTTGACGAGAGATTGGGTAGTGAACTCTATATTCCCTTTTTGTTCCTTTACTTTTTTTTCTTCTTTTTACTTTGTTTCTTTTGATTATTATAACTATTTGAAAGAGAGAGCGTGAGAGGGATAGTGAGATAGAGAGAGCGAGCTGAATTGCAGACGAGAGGTTGCGAAGGATTGCCTCTGATTTGGGGAAACTCTGCCAATTTTGTTGAAAGGGTTACTATCTTTTCTAGGGTTTTCTGCTGATTCTTGGGACTTCGTCTTTCTGGGTTATTTCTCGTGATTTCTGTTTTTTTGATACCTTTTTCTATGGCTTTCTTGTGCTTACAGGTAAGGAGTTTGGTCTGATTTTTTGATTTTTAATTTATTTCTCTATGTGTGTGTGTCTCTCTCGTTTTCTTTCCAGGTTTTTCTGTGCATTTAAAGTTTCTTCTGGTTGATTCCTGCTCGCTGTATTTTTTGTTATTTTGGGTTGGATGGAAGGGAGTTCCGGACAGGGAAGTTGAATGGGCCTATCAGATTCGGAGTTAAAATTTATCCTCAAAATTGGTGTTCTGATCCACTGTAGTTGACCAGATCTGAATGCTCATTTCATTTCCCCAACTTTTTTGGCCTTCCACGTGTTGCTTCCCCTGACTTGGCTTCCTACTTTCTGTCTTATCAAGTTTCTTACGGATGGAAAATGGTTTGTTCAACCCCAACATTCACATTCCTAGATCATTCTTAATGACCGAAAAAGGCGGTGGATTAGTTGAAATATGACAGGTCTTGTAATTTTAGAGGGGTTAGGGGATAGCTTTTCCCATTGCTTAGGTAGAGAATTTGATGGAGGAAATGTCCCCAGCGGTTGTGGTGCCATTTAGGGTGGGTAATTCAGTCTGTGATAACACCAACATGGCGACTCCCATGGATATCACAAGACTTAAGCTAATGGCTGATACTGCTGGTTTGTTATCTGAATCTGTGACTAAGGCTTCTACCGACCCGACTGAAGTAGGTTCTTCGGATGATTGTAAGAGTTCTAATGGGGAGGAAGATGTCGGTATTACTACAATTTCAGTTGCTAATGATGACAAGTGTGAAGGAGTTCAGTTGTCGGTCGTGTTAACTCAAAATAATAGAAATTGGGTCGCAGCAGATGAGACGGTATCCCATGGAAGTGAGGAAGATGATTCTTTATCTTTAGAGGGTGATCACATTTACGATAGTTCTTGTTCGTATTCGATTGCTAGTGAGAATAGCAGCATTTGTGGAGATGATTTTTTAGGTTCTGAGGTGTCTTCTTTTGAAACGTTCAGTTCCATCAGCAATGCGAAGGACATTAGCAGTGTTGAGATTGCAGCTGAAGCCAATCTTGGAGAGTCTAATGTTGAAAGTCTTGAGACTCAGATTGTGGGTTCTTCTGCTGTAGCAGTTAGCCTCGAAGAAGATGTTGGAGATGGATTGAGCATTGAAGCATGTAACATGGTTCTCCAGCTGCCTCTTGAGAAGAGGGCGAGTGAACCAGTCGGTCGAAGCGTTTTTGAGGTAGATTGTGTCCCCCTTTGGGGATTTACATCAGTCTGTGGAAGAAGACCCGAAATGGAAGATGCAGTGGCAACTGTACCAAGATTTTCAGAAATTCCTATCCAAATGCTTGTTGGCAACCGAGTTCTTGATGGCTCAAGCAAGCCTATAGCTCACCAAACTGTTCATTTTTTTGGAGTATATGATGGCCATGGTGGCTCTCAGGTATGCCTATAAATTTCATTGGTCAAGTGAATCTGTTTCTGTCTAATTCCCTCCCACCATATTCCATCATGTACGAGTCTTATTATCAGCCGTAATCTCTTTGTTGGTTTAACTCTAATCTCTTAATATATAGGTTGCAAATTTTTGTCGTGAACGTATGCATTTGGCTCTATCCGAGGAGATAGAACTTGCTAAGAAAGATGTAGCTGCTGGTAATATAAAGGATAATTGCCAAGAGCTATGGAGAAAAGCATTCACTAAATGCTTTCTAAAAGTTGATGCTGAAATTGGAGGGAGACCTGGTGCTGAGCCTGTTGCCCCAGAAACTGTAGGCTCCACTGCTGTTGTTGCAATTCTCTGTGCTTCCCACATCATTGTTGCAAACTGTGGAGATTCTAGAGCAGTTCTTTGTCGTGGAAAGGAGCCTGTGGCATTGTCTGTGGATCATAAAGTATGTTTCTGTTTCAGTTACGAACTTTTAGTATTATTGTGCCGTTCAATGTTTATTTTTCCTTTGGTTCTGTCCTGGTCCTCTAATCTTCATTGGTTTGAATCTCTTTGTTGGTTCTCAGCCCAATAGAGAAGATGAATATGAAAGGATTGAGGCTGCTGGAGGAAAGGTCATACAGTGGAATGGGCACCGCGTTTTTGGTGTTCTTGCAATGTCAAGATCTATTGGTACGTCTTACCCTACTCGAATCTTCAAGTCATGTTTTCTAGTCACTGCGAATGATACGATATCTTGACACAATCTTTTGCTGCTTCGCCAAAGTAATTTCATAGTTACTGTAAAATAAACATACCCATGGAACATGTGAAGAAGAGTACGGTTTCAAGTCAAAGCATCTTTCCTATCAGACTTTTTATTGTTGGTCAAGATTCTAACTTTGACATTCCACTTGCGAAAAACGTGCATAAGTGGATGCCAGTATGGAGTTCCATTTCTTTATTAAAGGGTGGAATATTTTGTGTGGTGCTGCTGTTACAGTTTTTACTCTTGTTAACCAGATAATTTTGATTGCCAGTGGGTGAGGTTATTACAAAATTTGTGATCTTTTTGATGATCCTTGTGCTCGGTTTCATTGCTTCTGAAGCCTTGCATCAGGGCCACTACCCTAACCAAGCTTATGTCACATTGTCACCCCTCACTTCCTTCGGATTCTATGGTTCGGATTCATTCGTGATATAGGTCAGAGTCGAACGACCTTACTTGAACAAGATTTGTTCTATAGGTTGTACTACTGTACCTTTAAGTTCTAAAGATATAGGTAGGCAGAGAGTTCTATAGGTTGTACTACTGTACCTTTAAGTTCTAAAGATATAGGTAGGCAGAGAGTTCACCGATTAGTTTTCTTTAGTTAGAGACTTTCTATTATTTGAGATCTCGAACCATATCTTATGCTAGAATTTTGAATCTCTCTTGAAGTTCATTCTATTCATTATCTATGATCTGTCTGTACTAAAATTGCCTAGACCAAATGAAAAATCCCAATTCATTAGGCCTTTCTATACCATCAAAAGCTCCAAAGAGTGCCCTATTCTAAGAACCAAACTCATGTAGTTGTGTGGTTCATTTTCATCCCTCCCCACTCCCCACTCTAGCAGTGTGGTGTTATCAGTTGGCCAGATAAAAATATCAAAACAATTTGAACTGCTGTTTTATTCTATGTGAAGTTCATAAATAAATAGTCGAATTAAGTGCATAATGTGGACACTAATTTATTTTATGGTGGCAATCATTTTCCATTGGTATGGAGGTCAATCTCCATCACTTCAGTTACTTGAGGTCGAGTGGGGGAAACTTGGGGGGTGCTGTTTGAGTTTGACTTGAAACACCCTGCAAAAGGGAGATACTGTAAATTCTGAAGTAAAAGGGCGTATGATTGCTTTTGTTGTTTCTTTTAAAATGAATATAACTGTAGAAGCCATGAGGTTGGGTTCATAATTGTACTGTGCTTGTTGAAACCATGATTTTGAAGTGCATCTCCCATCCATCTGGTTTGCAGGTGATAGATATTTGAAACCGTGGATCATTCCGGATCCAGAAGTGATGTTCCTGCCTCGGGCGAAAGATGACGAATGCCTCATTCTAGCTAGTGATGGTTTGTGGGATGTAATGACGAATGAAGAGGTATGCGACCTGGCTCGGAGACGAATCCTACTCTGGCACAAGAAGAACGGTGTCACTCCGCCATCCGAAAGGGGGGCGGGAATCGATCCTGCAGCACAAGCAGCCGCTGAATACCTCTCGAACCGAGCTCTCCAGAAGGGCAGCAAAGACAACATCACAGTCATTGTGATCGATTTGAAAGCTCAAAGGAAGTTCAAGACGAAAACATGACGACGACGACAACTATGACACGCCATGCCACACAGTGTCATTCTTCCTTTTTAGCTGTACCATATTCTTGTTATGATTTATGAGACAAGGCACACGATATTAATGTTGGCCCGACTATTTTTATCCGGGGCATTATGATATTAATGATATGAATGTGAAGGAAATATGCAGCATTCCAGAATCTCGACGGGGTCGGAGCCATTTGTTTGTTATAAGCTCCGGGTCCTGATAGAGTTCTGGCAATGTAAATGGCTGCTGCAGCAATGTGATAGGATAGGTGAAACAAACTGGGAGACAGTTCCAATGCTTATGCAGTATTTGCTTTGTATCATTTCGTACTCTTAGTCTTGCTGCTTATTATAAAGAATTAGCAGAATTTGAGCTTATTCTTCTCCTCTTCTCTACTGTTGTATATATAAAACAACTCATGTTTGCCTATATGATCAACTTTTGATGTCTTTCCTTTTCTACTATTCTCTTTTTAATTTTCTCAATAATTATATAAAATATTTTAACTTCTTAGTCTCCATATTTGGATTAAAGCTCCACTAGATATTACTCCATTGGAGTGAATAATATGTAACGATGGAGATTCGAGCTTTCCACCTTTTGGTAGATGATACATTTTTTTGATACGATAGAACATTAAAGAATATTAACTTGAATTGGGTAGGTTGGTGCGAAAAACTATTTCCTACCCATTTTGGCTACTCTTCAATTCAAATCCTTGAATGTTGATATCTCCTTCATGAATTGCTGAAGTATTAGTAGCTTCGTCCTCTTATGCCTTGTAAAGATGATTCCTTCTGTCTCCTTATTTCTACATTTTCTTCTTATTTCATCTATTATTAGTTAAGTCTCATTATCAAATCTATCTTCTCCATTGAATTCTAGTTGTTGCTTCTGCAAGTTCAATAGACCTTTTTAAGCTACAAAGCTCTTTCAGTAATCAACAAAACTTCTCCATCCTTAGTCACAAATTATTATCTCAAAACACGTCTTTCCATCAAGTAGTGCCACATTTGAGTTCAACTTATAGTTTGATAAATCTGGAGGCACAAACCACCAATAGATTGTTGTGCTAGAATCGTAATTCTTCGATGGTTAACTCTCCATTATTAACCTGTTGAGCTTTGCTCAACTAGACAAATCACAAAATAGTTCAAATTTATATAGTCCAAAATTGTTAGGTTATATGTGCTTCACATTTTAGTTAATAGTGTAGTATGATTATTTTTTAAATTTATGGCTTATTTAAGATTTATAATTTATAAAAATGTATTTAGAGTGGGTGTAGATCCCTTGAATTATGTTTATATTCAGTTTTTTTTCGTTCTTTTTTAGTTTGGGTTTGAGTTTTTATTTTAACTTTTTAAAATGTGTTTATTTATTTATTTATTTTTATGTGGGGGTTTAAAATGCGTTTGATTAGCTTAATACATTATTGAAAATTTACATAATTAATCTAAATTTTCGATCAAAGAAGAAAAATGAGGGTAGAAATGGGTAAGGTATAACAATAAAGCGCGAGGACAAAAGGCGGTTTCACTTTGTTCACCAGCCGAGAAATTGCCGTGAACCGCCGCTTCGTTCAGGCCGCTGTTGCTTCGCCGACGGCCATTTGATGGAGTGGTGATATCAATGGGGATCAACAGAGAGAGTAAAAGCTCCGCTTCTGCAACATCGCCGTGCGCTGATCTCAGGGCTGCGTACCACAATTGTTTCAATCGGTTCGTTCCCATTTTTCCTTCCCTAAACCCTTCTTGAACCCTAATTCGTTCGGAGTTCGGACCTCGACGTCATTCACGCGCTTGTTTTTTGGTTTTGATCTGCAGATGGTACTCGGAGAAGTTTGTGAGAGGCCAATGGGATGAAGAACCATGCGTCTCCGAGTGGCAGAAGTACAGAGCTTGCCTGTCTGTATGGCTTTGACTTTCTTTTGTCCTTTGATTCGATAACTATTAGGTTTTGTAAGTGTCACATTTGTCTTTGTCGCGATCTGATTCATCCTCCAATTGATAGGAGCATTTGGAAGACAAGAAGTTGAAGCGTTTCTTGGAAGATGAATCGCTTGTTCATTCCTCCGTGAAAGCTGATGCGAGTTGAGATAGATAGTCTTCCTTGTTGATGGTAACGCTCGAATTCATTGGTTCCCGCAATTGCAGACCTTTTTCTACTTTGATTCAGGCCTTTACGAACTTGGAAACCATGTTTAATTGTTATCCTCCATTCTTAGAATCAATATGCATATGCTTTGAAGTTTTTAGTTTCCATCTCTCCCTTTTGACCACTATTAGAACAGATGGGAGTATTTTGCTACTCGACCTCTATCTTATCTGAAGAACATCTGAACTTTTAGTTACTTGGTATAAATTCAACTAAATCATCTTATTAAGAAATGTCTCCTTGTTTGATAGAAAAAAGTTACCGTGTTCTATGATGGAATACTTATCTCTTTCAGAATTCATTTCCTTAGCAGTAATCCTGCAGCCCACTTAAAAAAAAGTAGCCTCTGGACTGAGATTACAGAACCAAAGAGTTTGTACTCTTCTTTCTTTCTGGGATTAGTTTCTGTAGTAGTATAGTAGTAGTTATGTTCTCTGCGCGCAGAACTGCCATCCCTGTTCAAGCAAATTGAAGATTATTGGCTGTAGATATGTGGTGTACGATGCCTCTTTTGACGAGACTCCTATTGGATAATTTGAAAACAACATCAGAATGTGCCATAGATAGTGGAGCATTATTCTCTTAGTGAGCTGCCTTCATTTCCACTGTTTCAGAGTCAAAATGCGAAGTGAACTTGAGGATTATTGGTGGTGCAATCGTATCCAAGGTGCACTGTTTCTGTTGTCTGATTTGAAAACCATCCATGTTTTGATTGCGTTATTGTGAAACTTTTCTTGTCAATTAAATGCAAAATCTTTCCTTTTCTATAGTATCTCCTCTTTCTGACAATCACTTTATGCTCTTTCCCAGTTCATTGTCTACTTTTACATATATTCATAAACTGATACTGCACATTCTCTCTCTGAGTATTTCAGGGTTCAGAGTCTTCTCCCTGTGACAGTAACTTGGAAATATAATCCATTTGATGATTCAATCAGTGTATCTGAATTATACTTTAGGATAAATTTATAGTCATGACCTCGAATTCGCGTAGTCCTGTCGTATTATATGCTTGACTTCGTAGTTGGGACGCTTGAGTTTTTTAAACAATTGTTTTGCATACTTACATCTCTTCAGCTTCAGCATTGTTATACATGCATATCTGTCATTTTTGTTGGGAAGCTTTGAACTCATGGTGAAACTTTGAATAATAATTTTTTTAAACTTTCAGGCCCTCTAAATCCGTCCCATTTGACAGACTTTTTGAAAAGATAGTCTTCTTAGTCATTACTTGCCGTAAATGCTCTCACGATGTTTCATCACTATAGCTACACCTCCCTTTTAGCCAATTGGAAGAGCTTCATGTAATCCCT